CCACATTCATATTACAACTATACCTAGGCTTCTCTTCTGTAAGAGCTAAAAATGCAGACAGCTAAAAGGATACAGTGGAATTACAGAGAAATTTTAAGGCAGTTTCTTGAAAAGAAAATCAGAGAAGAATAATCTTTAATATCTAGAAAGTCCGAGAAAAAAAACTTGCAAGTCAGAAAAGAATCAACAGTTCTTCCAAATATTCATTCTTAGCACAGTCATTCCTATGAAAAAAAACAAAATTAAAAATGTACCCAATATCAAGTATAACTGTGACTGGGAAGTTAGTCTGGCATTGTGTAAAGAATACATGTTCTCAAGTAAGAAGGTCTGGGATTGAGTTCCAATTCTTAATTAAGTGATCCTTTTTGAGTTAAGTTCCCATGTGGTACAGAGATTGGAGACAACAATCCTCCATCCCAGGAGGATCACCATGGGGAACCATACATGGGAAAGAGCTCAGCACGCTCTAAGTCACAATATAAAGGACTACTGGGATTGTTATTACTATAATCCACTGCATCTTCAGTGACATAATATTTTAACCAGATATTAAAAGAAAAGGTGGGAGGAGGAACCTACAATAGAATATCTTACCTCCTCACCACCTGTGTAACTTAGTTCCATTCCTTATAAAGGCCGCTTTAAAAAATTACAAGGTGTATCCTTAGCAAGAGATTGGATGGTGGTGGTTTGAAAACTGTTTCAAAAAAAAAAAAAAAGAAAAACTATGTAAGAAACAGCAGAGGGACTGAATGGTGTTGGAGGTAAAGAAAGAAAATCAAAGAAGGTGAGAGAGAGAACTGTCTTCTTTGAAGGGCTGTGATTTAATACACATTGTGGAATAGTCTGTTCTGCATGGATGGACAGTTCTAAAGACGGAGATCAAGTAAGGATAGCTAAGGAAAGAATGGCCTAACAATGAGAGTGGTCCCCAAATAAACTGCTTCAAGGCAGAGTAATCAGCCCATCTGTGGAGGTTTCAAGCCAAGACAGAATTGGAAAGCAAGTTGAACTAAGTAACTTTAAAGATCCTATGATGTATGTTCTTCCCAGGACCTGAATATTTCTACTAGGGAGAAGCCCTACAAGTTTTTTTTTAAATTTGGTATCATTAACATACAATTACATGAGCAACATTGTGGTTACTAGATTCCCCCCATTATTAGGTCCCCATCATATACCCCATTACAGTCACTGTCCATCAGCATAGTAAGATGCTATAGAGTCACTACTTGTCTTCCCTGTGCTATACTGCCTTCCCCGTGACCCCCCCCCAACATTATGTGTGCTAATTGTAATGCCCCCTTTTCCCCCTTATCCCTCCCTTCCCACCCATCCTCGCCAGTCCCTTTCCCTTTGGTGACTATTAGTCCATTCTTGGGTTCTGTGAGTCTGCTGCTGTTTTGTTCCTTCAATTTATTTTGTTCTTATACTCCACAGATGAGTGAAATCATTTGGTACTTGTCTTTCTCCGCCTAGGCCCTACAAGTTTTATGTGAATTTATTTTCAATAACGTGTTGACATAATACAATTGTGGCACACCCCAGTCCTTCCTCCCTTACACTAACAGTAGTTGCACGAGTTGTACATATCCATAGTCTTGCCATGGCTTCTTGATGGATGGAATATACGGCCTTGCCCCTTGACTTTGGACTCAGTGTCATGACTTGTGTTGGTCAATGGGATGTTTGCAGACATAATGCATCACCATCTTCCGTGGCTCTGTCATAATTATGCTAGCCACTGCCCCTTCAACAAAGACCCCAAAATGAGCCACATGGAGCAGACCAACTCTAGCTGACCTGCAAAAGCTCTGTAGCCACCTCACCTTACTTACAATCCATCAGTGAGAAATGAAAGCTTTTTTGGTTTGCCACTGAAATTTGGGGGGGGGGGATTGTTTGTTATCTGGCAATAGCTGACTGATATACTATCTATCACAAAAGATATTTAAGGACTGAAGCACAATTGTCTAAGATGCATAATGGAGGCTATGTAACCAAGTTAATAAAATGACCTCATTAGAAACTGGTCTAACTAATAAAACTGCTTAACCACCAAAGAAGCATTAATAAGAGTGCTCCAATCTATTCATCATTCATAACTTTAAATCATCTTAAAAAAGAATGCAAATAAAAATTACTGTAATCACTACTGCTGAAAGGCATCATAAGTATTCTCTCCAAAGGATGCATATACTTTTTTAAGTAATGAGAATGAAGAGACAAACTGTTCTGGAATGTTTTTCAACAAAGACTAAATAAATTCACCCTGCCAACCACAAGTCTGTATAATAGGCAGCTGTGAGCAAAATGGATTTTAATCAAATTCAGATGAAATATCACTGTTTCAGAAGCACTCAAAGAGGTATTGTCTAGAATGCATTAACTAGTGCCACAGTGTAAATGTTTATGCATGTATTACATTGAAAAATGACACGTAACAAAATAGGTTGGGACATATATATTTTTTTCTGATGCAGGAAATCATTTCAACTGAGAAGATGTTACAAGGGGCTGGACATGGAGACACACCTGTTCTATACAGTCATGAGCTCAGAACTCCAGAAGAATGAGGCAGTGGAGCCAGAGGAACGTAGTTAAGATTGAAGCCACAATGGATAATGGCAGGAACACTATTATTCCACTGGCTTCTATAGTTTCATGACAACCTTAGCACTTACTTCATGGATAGTAAATCAAATTCTCATATCAGGAATCATATTTCATCTCAAGGTAAAAAGCATGCTTAGGTAAGAGAAATGACATGTAAAATCTGAATTGCTGGAGGCTGCTTCTGTTATGTGGTGAGATCTGCATGTAATCCTCACTGTGGCCTACGTGGATCATAAAGCAGATGAAAGAAGTTATAATGAATAATATGATTTTTATGCAGTGCTCATATTTGCTGCATGCTCCATCTATGAATGATATTAAGGACCATAATTTATTACACAGAACTCTGTATTTTTACCCGTTAAGACAAGCAAGTCTGTCTGTCTAATATTTATCACTCTGTTAAAATGTGCTTCTTATGCACTGTTTCTTTCTGACCACAACATCCCTCTCCTGGCATTTCCGTTCTACCCCTGTGCCCTTCATGATCATTAATTCTGTTCTTATCAAGGATGTATGAGAAAATACGGAACAGGACAATTTTTTAAACGGTAGTGCAAAATATATTAGCTGGAAAAAGTGAACAAAAAACGTGAAAATAAATTAGGAGAAATGTTGTTGGTAAATATTAGATTATTTGGTAAAATATTAGATTATCTGGTTCATTTGAGAATTTTTTGCCACAGTAGAAGATCTACCAGCCAAGAATGTAACAAATACTATGTTACTGAGGCCCTCATCACAGACTCAAAGAAGAACATGTATGTACGTCTGTGGGTGTTGTGGGGATAGGGGGAAGTGACAAAAATGGCTTCCCCTAAAAAAATTTGAATTATATTACCTCAAATAGACAAAAGCCTGCACAGGGCCACCACAGGGCTGCAGCCACCAGTGTGCAGAGTCCAGTGTTCTCACCACTTGCTGCCTTTTCTTTCACTTCCCAGAACCTCAGTGGAGGAAAATGAATAATGAAAATGTAGGATAAGGTAAGTAGCTTGCTATGTGCTCCTATGGGGGAAGAGGGAAGTTCTGTACTTCCTGGCCAGAGGGCCAGTAACTTTCTGAATGGGTTAAGCTTTGACAATATCCCATCACCGATCAGCTACAGCATTTATGGTGGACATTATCCAAAGGCCTGACCAGAGCAGAACCTGACCCCCCTGTGCCGGGGCTAAAGATTCGGAATCGCCGACTCGCTCAACTGCCTCCAGCGTTCCACAAGCAGCTACCGGGAACTCAGCATGGTCCTGGCTGGAAGCGGAAGGGCGGCGGGCGGAGCGGTGAAGAGCAAAGCCTCCTTCCTGCTGAGACTCCGGAGTTCAGTAAGACACACATACCTCAGAGACGGGAGAACACTAGCAGAGCAACCCAGAGTCAGGTGAGATAAAAATAAATACAAAGCGTGTAACCTGATCGCCCATAGGAATGTTGAACAGAGGCAGATAAAAAGGAAAGGGTCAGAGGAGAGATTCTGAAGAGCCTAGTCTTAAGCACCTTACAGAGGAGGAGGGCACCTGTCCACCGGATGCCACTTCATGAACAGAAGCCCTACCTGAGGCCAACCTGGCCGTGAGCGCACCCAGAAGGGGGCCTGTGCACCACCAGCTCAGGCCACCAGGAGACCCTGGTCGGAGCATGTGAGTCAGGAGTCAGGGAAGAGGCTAGAGGGGGGCAGCCAGGGAGAAGCGCTGAGCTCCTTCTGAGGGGACCTGTGTCTGAGAAGACAGCATAGAGAAGCCGTTAAAAAAGTTAGACCTGGAGCTGAAGAGCCTTTTTAGACTCCAAAACAAAAGCTCAGAGAAAGAACCGGCATGTGGGGAAGAGCAGTCACAAGTAACCCAACAAGTAAGAGCTGGAGAGGAAGAGTCAAGAGGTCCGCAAGGAGGAAGGAAAAAGCACTGAGGTGAAGAGGAGGACACTGCAGAGCATGTGGTGCTGTCCCCATTCCAGGTATTACGGGGGGAGGAGGGGTGCATTTTCAATGCCTGGAACCTTCCATGAAGCTGGATGCATCACTAACATGCCCTGCTACGGAGCTGTCCTAATCACAGCCAGAACGAGGGATGTAAAGGAAGGTCACTGTCGGATGGCACTCTTTTTCAGGCAGCACAAAATGAGCCTGCCGAGTCCAGCACAGACAGGTTCCAAGCCACTGTTCTCTAAGTCTACATGAAACCAAAAACAATCAGAAATGCTTACTCACCCCACAAATAATGAGGGAGACCCTAATCTACACGGCTGACGTTCAAGAAAATGAAGCAAGGTGGGTGATAAAGATCTTTTATCAGTGTCTGCTAGCACCTATTTTTGTTGTAGATATTTAAAATATTTTCAATTTTAGAGATCTGAATGTTTCCAGTTTCAATTAGCCAGTCCTTCGATAACTTCAAAATGTTCATTTTATTAAAAACTCAAAAAATATGCAGAGTATTTTTACAAATCTCCCTAGAGCCTTGTCAGATGTGATATTAGCCACATAGCCTCATCCTGAGAATTGAGGGTCAGTTTCCAGACATCCAGTGCCACATTCTGATCGCCCCAAAGATACAGTGTGCTGGTGAGCAGCTGCACATTCTGGGCCTCTTCCGGGTGCACAGGTGGACAGTCTCTTGAATCTGATGGAAGTCTGAGTTTTTGTATGAAGACAAGTTCCACAGTTGGTAAGGTTTTCTTCTCTGGAACAACGACACACCTGAGTTCACTGAGAGAATGGCATTTGATCACATCGAATTGCGTCCATGGAGTTGGTGTGTTTAGACACCGAGCATGGGGATGGAACACTCGATCTTCCCTCACAAGGGCGATGTGGGTGTTCAGAAGCACTAGTGACTGGCAGTGGTTGTGGCCAGAGTCGCCCAGGACTCTGACCGTTGTGTAGAGCAGTAATTGAACCTCTACCAGAGAGGGAATGTTGACTTCCATATTTCCATGAAGAAAGTAAATCATGTCAACCAAGGTTTGCTGGAATTTAGAAGACAACCGAACTCCATTTGCTAAAATGACATCAGGGATTTGTGCTTTCCAATCAAGAGAAAGCTGGACCAGATCTTGCTGGAACAAAGGGTGATTGGTGCAGGCAGCAGCATCAGACTCAGGCATCAGGACACACAAGAGGTCACAGCATATCTGCTGACAGAGGTTTTTGTTATAACTAAATACAGTGAGCAAGAGACTCTCTGTAGAGCCCAGGAATCGAATGCTCTGTCCACCAAAGCCAATTTGAATCTCCTCTAGCCTGCAGAGAGGCAGAGCATGAAAAATGCCCAGTGAACCTAGGGGATTATCTGACAGAACCAAAGCATATAAAGTTGAACGAAGTAGCAGTAAGCATGCTGGTTGGGGGTCAGGCTCTGTGCAGTTACCAACAGCCAGCCAGTAAACCCCTTTGACTTCATTAATGTCACCCAGAAGTTCTGGTAGGCAGCCAGCCACATGCTCAAGAAAGTCTTGCAGAGGGCACTCCTGAAGTTCCAACACTTGATCTGGGAACCGCACAAGGATCTGCTTAAATGCAGAGATCCTTCCATCACCTTTGTGTTCAAGACGGAAAACAGAGCTCAACCAGGGAGCTGGTGAGTCTGCAGCTGCAGAGGCAGGAGGATGGCCTGGTGCTCTGTAAGGCCCCGTGCTCTCTGCCAGCCTAATGGCCCCAGCCTCCCTGCTGTTACTGCCGCCACCCTGAGCTTCTCTGGGAAAAAAAGGGGACTCTGGGGGCACCCTGCCCAGGGATAAGTGCTTCAGGAACGGCAGTCTACTGATGAATGTTGTTACATGGGAGGTGAGCCTGCTGGGGTCACACGGGCCTCCCATGTGCCTGACTTGCCGCATCACCTCTGCACCAGCCTGCAGCAAGTGACTGCTGGTATCTTCACAAAGGCGTGAGAACCTGTGGTAAAAATATTCCAATCCACTGCCTTCTTCTGTCCTTATATTTACCAGTGACTCTGGAGTGCTGGCCTTCTTTGCAGCTAGCTCTTTCTTAGCTTGCTGTTTGCTACAAAATTCCGAGGCTGATGCACCCTGAGGAGCGCTGTTGGATGCACTCTCCTTTCTAGAAACATTTTCAGGCAGAACAAAACAAAGCAACTTGCTCTGCCTGGTCTGCGTGCTTTCACTACTTATAGACGCTCCTTGGGCTGGCTGCTGCAGCCAAGTCCAGCTGGACTTGATTCCCAGGCTGTGCTCATCTTCATGAGTCACTGGCTCGCTGACAGGTTCTGACTGATGCTGACAATGGTCTGCATTCCTGGTTCTGCTTTTGTTAAAAGAAGAGCTTTGAGGGAGACTGAAATACTTAGGTTGAAAATCACCCACGTGCTCAGGGTGACTGTATTTGCAATAGCTACTGTGAAACACCTCACGTCCTGAGGGTGGCTCCCTTCGCAGGTGGGTTCCCTCTTGTGATGCCGAGAAGGGAGCTGTAGGGCCTGAGATGCTCTGTGTCATGGGATGACTCTGGGGGTTGTTCTGATCCACCTCCCTCTTCTCCCCTCTGCTGGAAGTGCCAGTAACATCTCTGGGCAACAGCCAAGCAAGGTACCTTTTCTGTTCAAGATGTCAAAACAGTCGAAATGGGTATTTGATAGCACCTTTGCGAGTCTTTAGCATATGAAGATTCTTGCAGTCATTGGTTTCACCATGCAGATTAATTCAGAGATTAAACTGAAAGCCTAAGCCACTCACATTGATTGATACATGATTTAAGAACAGATGATCCAATTCACAGCAGAACATCAATTTCCATTTTACATATCTTACCAATCTCCAAGGATTTTGACAGAAATAGGCCGTATGGGATTGATCCACAGTATCCATTTCTTGGTCTAATATTTCAGTTATGCTAAAATAAATCCAAAAACCTCTGATTCCATTTTCAAAAGGTCAAATTTAGTTGTGAAAATATGTCCGTGGCCATATATCCAAAACATAAATGTAATCAGAGCATACTTAATGAAAATAAGATGAGATCAAAAGAAATTGACAAGTGTTCCAACCCCAGTCGTGCTTCTCTTGCCACATGGTTCATTTCATGGGAATCCTTAGTTATATCTGCCCCAGTTAGACTTGTTATTACCGTTACCTACAACCAGCACCAGCGAAGGCTAAATTCATGCCTTCTATGGGCCAGGGACTATGGACACAAAGAAATGAAAGTCAAGTTCCTTCTCTTCAAGGGTTGTCTGCTAAGGAGATGGATGTCCAGAGGGAAATAATGTCATTATTGATGCTTGGAACAGGGTGCTTGCCGGTGGCCAAAGCCTCCTGTGGGACAGCCACCACCTCACCTCATGTTCTCTGTTCAGGAATATATGGGCACCTTCTGTAAAATTCCTTCCAGCTGGTAATTTTGGGTTTTTGTTTTTTAATTTAGGAATGTATGGGCAGTACAAGCCCTTCAGTGGAGGAAAACACAAGAAAAACCTTACAAATCGTATGCCCAAATAAACCTTGGTTTGACAATCCACTGAAGAAATAAGCCAATCAACCAAGGGTATTTCCTTTGTACCCCTGCCAAGTCACTGTCTGTGTAACAAGCAGGGTTTTTAAAACATCCAGAAGACAGTTTCATTTCCAAACCCCATTTCTGATTCTGATTTTGTAATTCTGCCTTTTAAATGCAGACCAAGGGAAAGGATACTGTTGCAAATGAAAACCTGGGCGAAGGGCCTCCACCACCACTACATGCCATTCAAGTAAAGTCAAAGCAGTTTTCAACCTGCAGGATTACATTTGATTTTAAGTCCATATAATAGCTTGCCTTCCCTATTAGCCATTAATCTCACTGGGACTTTAAAATTCTAATTATGCAATTAAACATTAAAAAAATTTAATCACATGAGCATGTTATAATTTACGGCAACCCTATCAAGCTGAAAAATCATTACCTACCTCATATTTTAGCTTACGTTGAATGGCACCATTGTGAAGCTTCTCATTATCCTGAAAAGAAAATAAAAAGCCCTCTATATTAAATTATAGTATGTTCATATAGGGAAAAGAAACTGATTTGATTAGAAATATTTATGGGACCCAAAAATTATAAAGAAACACACTTATTCAACAATGACAACCCTTTTATAGAATTAATATTCCCAAGGTAAACACGACTCTATCGCTCCATCTGCCTGAAGAGGACTAAACCATTTATTCCTAGTCCTGAAATTCTGAAAATTTTAGAATAAATATATTCTTGAATCAATCCTATTTACAAACTGTTAAGCTCCACCCAAGCAACATTTAATTCTTCTAGAACATCTCACATCTCAATTTTCTCACTGAGAAGTAGTAATGAGAGTCCACCATCATCACTACCGCACTGAAAGGCCTCGAGAACAAATGACTGTAGCCCGGGGTCGTGCAGTTCACCTTCATTGCATCTGCAGGGGTGTGGCCGTCATTGCCAGGAACGCAGTACAGGCCCTGAAGTCGCCTCTGGACTTCCTCTTCAATGTAAGCGTTGATCCTGGAACAGTGGGATGGGGGCACTTAACACTTCCATCTCGCAGGCCATCTGAGATGATTTCTCGAACACTATGCCCTTCTTAACAGAGAGCTTTCTCATTCTGAATATCAAACATTAACAGCTTGGGGCCTTAGATGTTTTTCTACTTTCTAAGAAATCTAGTGCCATGTGTTCACTATCTGAGTTTTCCCCAAATGACAGAACTGGACAAATAATGGCATCTTGGGGACAGAAGGGAAACTAAGTGGTTCCATCCAAATGGCTCCTGGACTTCCTCAATGGAAGAACGGCCACAGGTCAGGGGAGAACCGTAGCCTAGGCTGCTGAAGGCTCCAGGGCCCTAAGGTTCACTCTGAGACCCAGCACTTCACTCACAGATCCTCTGTTCCCTCACACAGTAAACAGTGATAACTCTCTCTCAGAAGGCAAAGCCATTTATAAGAGGATTAAAAGAAAAAAAAAAAGAAGTAGACTCAACCTCTATGAATGCTCACTATTCCAGTGGGGCAATGGCTTGCATTATTCCTGATCTGTCTTCTCTCTCCAGGTCTCTACCTTCCAAAATGCCTGGTACAGGGCCCAGACAGTGGAAGCCAGAAAGAGTTGACTCTTGAGTCAGTTGTCAGTGGAGTATCTGCTATGCCACAGAATGTATGTGAAACTGTACAAAGTACAAGCATCACCCAGGGAAGCCAGGGAGACAGAAGAATTATAGCTCCAGGTTGCAATCACTCTAGTGGCTCAGGCTGTCTAAATGGAAGGCTTACTCAGTTCTAGGTTCTCTCCCCAAGTTCTACAGACAGTGATTAAATGGATCATTTAAAATGAACTGCTTTGCATGTTTACATGTTAGCATACTAAAAAAGAAATCTGCTTTCATGTTTCTAAGCACATGCATAGTCCTATAAACATTTCTGTACTGCTGACCATGGTTAAATGATTTTCTGAATGCTAGGCAAACAGATTAATATTTAAGGTATAATAGCCCAAAAGAATGGAGTTATAGTAATAATATGTAGTATTGGCCTCTCAGTATTGAAAAGAAAATTATGTACAGTTGAATCTGAGCCAAGGCCACTCCTGAATGAATTATTTCCTAGACCTTTACTTAAATATTAAACACAGAAGATGCAGACCTAGACTCAAAGGCCTACAGAGGCTCATGCCATTCTGAATACATTTGGATATCCAAATGCACATTGCCTGATACCCAGGGCTCTCAGGACTGCCTGATCTGAAATGTCCCCATAACATAGATGGGGTTGAAGGAAATATTCTCAGTTTCTTAGAGGCAAAGAATGATTAAGTCAGTTTATCTGAAAGCTCTAAGCCACAGAGCAATTTACAATGCCACTCACACTGAAAACCATTTTACTATATAGTAACATCAGAGATACATTTATGCTATTCATGATCATTCTGAATATACCGGCACAGTTTTCTTAACAGACCTCATCTATCTGTAATCAGTGACTTTCTTAACTGTCAGCATGAGGCCCTTCTTGGTGCGATCCAATTAACTCTACTTTGTTTTTCCCATGCTGGCCGTGCATCATTCCTTTCTGGATGAGCTGGTTTCCCTGGGCGTTTTAACTTTATCTTCTCACACCAACCACTTGCCCCAGCATTCCTTAGAGCTGGCTGGCTAGTTTCCAGGTCTGCGGTTCACTTCAAATGGTACCTCACCCCCCAGGCAGCAGAGACAAAGCACATCTCAGACCCATATTATTTGTCCCCTTTCATAGATCCTTCCAGATACAAACTAGATAATATGAAATATACACTGAGTCATGAAATCACATCAGAATGTGGGCATGACATCAGTTTAATGTCCAGTACCTGGCATCCATCAGAGAGACTGGGTGAGGCTTTTCAGCACTAGATGACAAGCTGGAAGAATCAGTCTTCACCTCCAAGGTCTCATGATTACCTTTTTGAACATCATCAACCTCACAGATCTTCTTCAACTGTTGTATTTCATGTTCTAACCTACAGAGATAGGGGGTGCATGAATTCATTCATTAACCATATTTCCTGAGCATTTGCACTGGGTGGGAAATTGTTCTAGAAACAGTGGGGATCCAGAAAAAAACACTTTTGCAAAGAGTTTTACCTTCTAGTAGAAAAGGGGCCACCTACCTTTAAGCCAAAGCATAAGGTGATAATGGGCCACAAGAGGGGTTCAGAACAAATGCTGCAGGTGTCTAAAAGTCAGAAAGAGTCCTACTAACAAGGGCAAACATATTCCCATCATGCTCCACACCAGTCCTCAGAGGCAGGTGGGCATGTTCTAAGACGGCTCCCCCTGCTTCAACAAAATGGTTGTGGACTATACATGAGGATCACACTAAATATTGTTTGACAAAGGAAATCTATGCTTTGAAGAGTTTTTAAAAGCTGCCAATCTAGGAGGACCTTCATGGTCTGAGCAGTTCTGAGTCTTGAGAGGCCAGTGGGAATTTGGGCATTTGGAGAAGATGGTGGAATGTTCTCCAGGTTCAGAAACCAGTATGAACAAAAGGGGTAAGTCACAGGAACCAGGGACCCACCCCTGGCTAAGGCAGAGGGAGTGGGAAAGGGAAGCAAAAGAGACCTAGGAAAGCAGGCTGCGTATCTAGAGATTATAATAAACCACATAGTGTAGAACCAAGCACTTATTTCCAGTGATAAATGACACATCTAATAGGAGATCAAAAGTGTGCAAAGCCATTCTCCCACTGGCCCAGGCACATTTGAATCCAAGCCATCAGGGTAGAGAGCCAAGTTTACCAGTAAACTGGCCCAGGGAACACAAGACCTAGCTAGGGACTAGAGCCTACTTACTGTATGAACTTAGGGAAGTTAATGAAATCCGGGTCTCAATATTTTCATGTCTCAAATGAGAGTCAACTAGTCTCTCCAAATTCCATCAGCTCAAAGATTCAGAGATTCTAGCTTCAATGCTGACACACCATGAAACTGCCAGTTCACTGAGGTCACCAGCAGCAATTCTGACTCTGTCCTGAGCATGAAAGTCGAGTTCTCAACCACAGAAATGTGATTTCAAGGTCACAAGGGTCAGCACTCACGGGTGCCACAGGTGGCAATGCCCAGCTTAACTCAGCCCTTATCTGTCCACTGATTATCAAGTGCTGACATAACACCAACTTGCAGATTATGCAGAGTTTTCAAAGGAGGAGGGAGAAAGTATGAAAGAGTGATATTAGGGGCCTGGTGGTAGCAATATGAACATAGGCTCAGAGATGGTAGGGAAAATGAGCTAATGTGATTTCCAATTGTTTGTAATTGAGGTGACACCTAGCAGAGTTGTTCAGACATCCTCCAGGGCTGGGGCAGTAGAACACTTCACAGAGCAAAGGGGATGGACTGGAGCCCTGAAGGCTGAATGGGATTTCTACAGCAGCCAGGGAAAAGCAGGGCACCCCAAGAAAGGTTGGCAGTGCACATGAAGAAACAGCCTGCCAGGGCTGCCACTCTATGGTCAGCGTGCAAGAGGACAGCCCGGCTAGAGCTGAGCGATGATGAGACCTGGATTTGGATGGTAGCTCTGTCACTACCTGTGTGACACTTGTCCCCAGTGGTTACATAAGCACGGAAAAGATGACAGAAATGGTCTAAATCTTGTTCATAAAGCAACCAACAGGGAAAGCCAAGTTCAGTGCACTGTCATCCAATCTACTTCCACATGAATTTAAAATTTCACCATTACAGAATTTCACAAGTGGTCAAATCTGACTCTACGGCAGGCCCTGGTGCAGCCATAAGAACCCAGGGAGATAAAAAGACACAAACCCAACACCCCCAGAGAGATGCAGGAGCATCACAGCCAGAGCTCAGAACTTGTTGGCTTAGATTGGGTCTTAGCAAAATCTGCTCCTATCAAAACACATGAAGCTAAAAGCCTCCTCTGCATGGCTTCTACAGAAACACTGACGTGAGGAAATTATGTCCATGGAAATCACAATACTGTATCTGCTGTAATTAATACTAAGTGGCCAGGGAGGGAGCTGGTTGACAAAAGGCGGAGACAGCATGCTGCAAGCTCCCTCTGTGTCTTACTGCACACTGAGGACAGGAATTGAGAGCCTGCCCTGTACCATTTTCAATTTCCTGGGGCTGGAGCTTTGTCCAGCCATTTCACTTACATAACATGCCTGCAATAATTTTCTTAAATCTTCAACCTATTTCTCTGAAGTAATAGCATTACAGTTTCTGATTGTTATTTATTGCTGTTTTGCCTGAGGATTACCAGGGAGCGAAGGTAAACAGAATGCACAGTATAAGCCAATCACTTGAAAGGAGGTTGTCCTGCCCTTTTTGAGCAAGATGATGGACGGAGGCTCAAGCCACACCTCACAGGAGGTCTTGCCTTTTCCTCAGCATCGATCCCCAACCTCTGCCAATGTCAAGCTGGGCTCCCAGAGGCCTGCAGACCGGGCTTCTCTTGCAGGTGGGAGGTTTGCTGGGAGGGGCTTTCCAACCTGGACTTCAGGTAAGCTCTCGGCTGACCAAAGAGTCTAGAGAGCTAAAGAAAACACTAGCAACTCCTATCTCATCCACCCCTTCCTGTGAGGCTGCGCGCAGCTTGGCCCAAAGATGGACTTGCCCGCCAGAGCCAGCTAGGCAGGAAGGGACTGGACCAGGGCACACGCCCCTGGTAGGACAACAGACCCACGGATGCCTACACTCCAGGAGGCCGTCAGCCTTTCTGGGAGCCTCAGCATCACATCTGCAGAGCCACCGGGGAAGCGTTCTAGAATTCACATCCATACTCATTTGAGAACTGACTGCGTGGGTCGCATGGTGACAGAACATCTGGAAGATGATATTCTTTACTAGAGGGCTAGTTCCTAGTTGTGTTTTTCATGACTCCTTGTGTCAATAACCCCCCACCGCACATCCTCCAATAGGCTGCTGAGCTCAGAGTCATCTGGAGCGCTTTGCTGGGTTGGTTGTTTATTTTTTAACACAGAAGAATCCTGGGGCATCCCCTCAAATCCTGTGAATCAGTAGGGGTAGGGAGGACCGTCTTTCAGTTCCCTGCGGGGTGTGGAAATCAGCACACACCAGGCAGTCTGGGAACAAGGGAGGCCGAGGAAAAGCTGTTCAGCCGCTGGTGAGGAAAGAGGTTCCAAGAGAGGAAAAGAGCTGAGGACAAGCTGTGGAGGAGGAAACATAGGAAAGGAGGAAGAAGGGCCAGGAAAAAGGGAACAGGAGTTGGGGGGTGTTGCAGAACAGCAGGGAGGGACACAGCAAGGCTGGGAGTGTTCTGTCCTCCCTACATATGAAATACTACAACACGCATTCTGCAGGCTGGTGGGGTAATGACAAGGGCTTTAGTCTTGTTTGTGATACTACAGGCCAAGGATTCTAAAATAAGGAACCTACAGAGAGAGAAAGGAATGTTTCAGGGTACTTGAAATAAGCATTTGCTGGTGCATTCGAGGGAAAAAAAAGGAGAAATAATTACTTTTCAAAAAGACAGTGAGAGACACACTGAGGGGCAGAGAACCTGAGATCATTTGGCACCCATGGCCTGCCAGCTTCCCTGGGGGGCGGCTCACCTCTGCTGGTCCTTCTCCAGGGCCTCCTGCTCTGCCTCCAGGCTGGCCTGGAGCCCAGCCTGCCCACTGCCATCCCCATGCAGAGTGGCCAGCTTCTGCCTCTGCTCTTGGATCTCCAGACCCAGGGTGGAACGCCTCTGCAGGGCCCAGTGCCTCCTCTCCAGCCTGGCCACAGCCCGCTCCAGCGCCTCTCTCTGCTGCTTCTCCCGTGATTCCAGAATCTCCTTCTCCTTTTTCCTCACTTTTTCTTCCTGACGTGCAACATTGGCAGCGAATTCAAAGGTGGCTTGGAGCTTCTGCAGCTGGCTGGCGTTGGCTTGGTACTGCGCGAGCTGCTCTTGCTTCTCTTCCATTTCTTTCTCCACGTGGTAAAGAGTATTATCTAAGCCAAGAGGGCCTCCCTCAAGAATTTCAAAGGCTCTCTGCTTTTCTTCTAACAGAGCTGGCAAGTGATTCTGCAGGAGGTACTGGAGCTGGCGCTCCTTATATTGCAGCCTAGACTCTGTCGGCTTTATCTTCTTCAAACCCTGAGTCATCTGGGTGAGGCTATCATCATTTCTTTCCAGCAACCTAAATTCTTCTTCATTTTCTGATTTTAGATGCTCTAGGAATTCCCGTTCTTCTTCAAGTTCTTTTTCCAGAAGGTCTTTCTGCTGAGCCAGGTCCTTCTCCAAGTTGGCTAGCTTGACCAGCTGTCTGCTCTTGAACTCGAGGAAGTGCAGCTGAGCCCTTTCCAGCTCCTCGGTGTCCTCGTCCCCCTCAGTCCCGGCCTCCTTGGCCCGCAGCAGGGCCTCCCGAATGCCCTCCAGGTCCCGCCTCTCCTCCTCCACCCGCTGTACCTCCCCTCGCTGGAGGAGCCGGATCAAATCCTGCTTCTCCCGGAGCTGCTCCTCCAGATGGGCCACGAGCGTGACCTGTTCCTTTTCTTGCTCCTCCAGTCTCTTTTTTTCCAATTCAAGCTTGGCATACTGCTCTTCTTTTTCCCTTTTGAGCTGGTCCAGTTCTCGAAATATCTGAATCTCCTCAGCCTCCTCATTGCTGTTGAGCTCCCGCAGCCGCTGGAGTTCCTCCTGGACATGGAGAAAGCTCTCTTCTTCCTGCCTCTTCTTCTGCAGCTCAATCCCCTGCTGCTCCCTCAGCCTTTCCTCCTCGAACTTTTCCTTCTCCGCAAGCAGGTCCTTCAGCTTGCTCTCGATGTGGAAGCTGCGGCGCTTGAGGCTCTCCTCCTGCTTGCGGATCTGGCGCTGGACGATTTCCGTCTCCTTGCGCTGAGTCTCCACCTCCTGCTGCATCCGCTCCAGCTCTGCCTTATCTGATTTTTGCTTTTCCTCCATTTCTTCTATGAGTTTCCTGAAATCAAAATGTTGACTCATCATTTTCTGATGACTATGTCCAAAAGTGGCTCTAACTTGTCCCTGCTACAATGTTCTAGTGAACACACAACATAAAAGCAAACCCTTCATTACAATAAAAGAGAAGCCACTTTCCTTTTAATTTCCAGCAGCATGCTGTTTAATTTTTCTTACTCTCTAACTGTCCAATATATTTGCCTGATCTCCTGAAGTACCCTCTGATATCATTTATTTGCACAGTCTATAAGCATAATGTGTTATGCATGATATAATTTTAAAAGCCCCCTGAGCTCAAAGAGAAAGATCCATGCCCAATTTAAATTTAAATGTGAATAATTTTATTCAGCCTAATGGCTAAAACTCAACAGAAATTCAGTTACAAACTGACATTAAATAAAGATGCTTATGCTGTCCTCAACTCACTGGGGTCAAATATCAAAGTCAAGATAATTGACAATATATCATTCCAGCTCAAATAACTACATGGTGTTCAGCATTTAATCACTAGTTTAGGACAAATGATAATCAATAAATGGCCCAAAATATTAGTTTATTAATGGATAACATTGAAAATAATGGGAGTCTCTAACAAAATGCTTAAATGCATAATTTTGGAGGTTACATGTCATGTTTTGTCTTAGAGAACAATCCCTTCCAGGGGCTAAACCAGTGTTTTGAGGTTGGAATGTCCTCCAAAACAAGAACATGGGTTATGTAACTGTATCTGTATATATAATCTCCATATCCTGACCACCAAAGATCTAGTCATAGATGCTGCAAACTAAACAAATTAATCTGTAACATCTAAATTTCAGATTCTAGAAAAGAAACAGCCAGTTCATAGATTTTTCTATTGTCTTAGCTTCTACTCCCGTATCTATTCTTGGTGTATTTCTTGGCTTGTTAAATAGGGCAGGAAAAAAAAAAAGAAAACAGAGTTTTATCAAAGAATTATATTCAGAACATATAAAAAATACTCTCTAAGTAAATTAAACACACACACACACACCCCACAAGAAAAGTGAGCGAAGGATAAGAAGAGAATTACAGAAGGAAAAATACAAATGGCCAAACAACATAAAGAGAGATGTTTAAAAGGGGGAGAGGCATCAGGGTGCCTAACCGGTTTTCTTTGTTTCACTGGATATGGCTGGTAATTGTAGGTCTGCTTTGGTTATGTAGCTGTATTCCTATTATGTTAATGTGTGCACACAATTTAATTAGTAGTTTAAAACCTATACATGCTTATATTACACTACAAGAAGATATGTCAAAGAAATAATCAATCTTCCCATGTTTTCTTCCATCTGCTACTTCTATAGCTTTTCTTCTTCCTTCCTAATTACAACCCTTAAGTAGAATTCATGCCTCATATCGAAATTACTGAGTATCATAATTCTTCCAAGTGTTAAAGATACCTCAAGACAAATACTGGGCATAGAAGCCACAGGGCATAAATCTGCAAAGAAGTAAAAAGCTAACCTTTTCAAACAATATTGCTTCTCTCTCACTTACCAACTTTACATTTCCCTGTATGGCTCCGGAAGATGGCTGGTTAGCCAGAGACGGGTAAGATTCCTCAAGGGAGGAACAACCTAAGACAGGCACAGTTGCAGGGGGGCCATCAGGTGAGAAATTGGGGATCAACAGAGGTAAGGCTTAGAACCTCACCCTCCCTGTTTTGAGAGAAATCTTCTGCATTCGTGGATGTTTTGTTTTCCTTGTCTAGCTCGGATTAATACTTAGTCTATAGGCACACACCTGATCATCTACATTTGCCCTCTTACAGCACTAAACTATGTTTTCTACCTTTATCTTGCATCTACCTACCACTGCAGCATTTTATTAAAAATAATAATAAGGGAGAAATGTGGGATTCACATATAAATCAAGTATAAAAATCAAACGAATAATCATATTTTACCTGATTGTTTATAGTTCATGATGCGTGATCAGAACCGAAAGTTCCTGTGATATGACTGCCCTTGCACTGTTCACCATGTAAGAACTTCATCACTATGTAAGAACTTGTTCACCATGTAAGAACTTGTTTGTTATGCTTTAGAAGATTGGAGACTGTTGAGAATTAGGCTTGGAGTTGATTAATGATTGTGCATTGAGTCCCCCATACAGAATTTTATTGTTGTTATCAACCATCTGATCAATAAATTTGAGAGATCTCCTCTCAAAAAAAAAAAAGGGGGAGAGGCATAAGGAAGGGGAACTGTCATTCTTTTGGATTTTTTGAAACTCATGGGATATTATTATGGAAGATATACTTTCAAGTGAAATTTAAACAAGTATATATTTGGTGTATTATATTTAATGAATGCATTAAATTGGCCTACTGACACTACTCCCCTCTTCTCACAAGTATTTGAAGATGAACTTTTAAAACATTCAAACATGAAGTAAAACTAACCAGCCAAAGAGAAAGGCCCTACAGTCATTAGGTAAGTAAACAACAGCCAGAGAGCAGAGGGAAGAATTGAGGGACACAGATGAAATCAATCTAGGATATTAACACAAGAATCCAGACTACAGTGGTATTAAAACTTGTAACCCATGTGGCTTACCTTTTACTTTCTAATTTCTCAAGTTCTTCACGCTGTTGCCGCTCAAATTCAAGTCTTAATAAAATCAAATGAAAATGAGTCAATTCTCTGAAAGAATTTTCTGCTTCTAAATCTCAGTATATAGTTACATATTACAATGAATATCAATATTTCTAGTAATATTTTCAATTACTATGGATTAGCAAGTTTAAAATGTATTCTTTGTCTATGACTATGATTAGAAATCAGACATACTTTTGGATGCTTGAATTCAGGCTGTAAAAACATATTTTACTTGAAGGAAAACAGACAAAATAGCAATGTGTTGAAAAAGCATAGTTACAGGAGACTTCTAACTGATAAGCATGCCTACACCATGCAGCTTAGTCACTGATGAGCATATAAAAATGGAGAATCTCTACCTTAGACAGATGGGTCCTTTTATAGGGAAAAGACTGCCAGGGAGGTAGAGAGAAAGAGCAAACACATCAATTAAGAAAGTAACTCGGGGAAAACATTAGGAGAAAGCAGTAGGTACATAAAAGCCAATAGCCATGCACAAATCAAAACTTTTTAAAAAATAAATAGATTTCCCAACAATTTCTTGAAGCAAACACTCCAAAGACTTAACTCTGTTACATTATGCACACTTCCCAAGATAATTATATCACCAATAATAAGAACAAACAGTAGTCAAGTTCATATTTTTACTACTTTCTAGTTAGTTTCACTACAGGTAGGTTTATCCAGACCCTCCTGTAATTAGTAGTTATATGACACAGGAGTTATTCGGGCATATACAGATCATGAACAGATTTATAACAGTGGTAGCAAAATGAAGAGCGCTAGGACATGGGAAATTTTAGAACAATTCATTAACATACTGACAACAAAACTTGATTTTTTTCCTCAAATATGAGATTTAATTACTGCAAAATTACTCTATTCCTATTAAATAGCATGAATTCTTGAACTTACACATTTTCCTTTGTGGTAGATGGCAGATGCAGTTAAGAAACTGAACTATGGAAAAATTCATCATGAATTGTTTTCCTTGGATAATATGCAATTCTAGATGGGTAACTGTTACCTTTACAATCAGCTAAGTAGTAATTTCAAGCAGATATGTTACAAATTTAATTTGGGCTAATATGAGAGTAAGATGTGTGCTGGCTTTTATAAATAGAACCAGGTGCTTTACTGACTGATTTACACTTGTTAGCTTATTTTGTCTTCCCAGTAAATCCTTAGGATAGCCAACAGTATCTCCACTTTACGGGTGAGGAACCCAAAGCTTGGATACATGAATTTGTTAAAGGTCATAATTATTAGATGTGGTTGAGCCAGGATTGGAACCCATAACATCCTCAATTACACCCTTCCAAAATGTCCTCAATTAATTTGTTTTATGAGCAATGCTCAAATTTGTGATATACAGTAGAAGTATTAAGCCCTTCATTCAAACTTGTCATTCAGAGTTTATTTATCCTCCTACCAAATGAAAATAACCTGTTGACTACAGGCATTACCATCCATGAGAAATAAATCACATAAATATACATCAAAGATATTTGCCAACACATACATCATTACATTAAGTAGGTATAGGACTTCATTAAAGTTCACATATAGTCGTTCTCTTCTATAAAACAATAAACAGAACCTTGGGAGTGATTCCTAGTAGATATTTTTAGACCTTGGTACAGTTAATCTTTCTAAATATGTTCACATAGTCAAAAAGAATCACTGGATAAGACACTTTCAAAACGAGAATTTCCCTAAAAGACCTTTGTCTCTATTTTTATTTTCTATGAATGATAGCTCAATGTGACCATCAAAGGAGACACTGCTCTGATGTCACAGTGCATGGTCATAAGCCAAATGCTACTCAGAGAGCTGGGAGACCCAGATTCAGATGAAAATTTATCACCTGAGGACTGTTTGCAGCACGTAGGCACTGGGCTGGGCACTCAGCATGCAATAGCCTCTCTTTGTTCTCCCAGCCCTAGCAGGCTGAAGCATTTCTCATCCCTATTCTGCAGAACAGGAAACTTAGGCTTGGAGCAGGTGAGTAGCAGAGGGAGGATCTGCATTCAAATTTGCACTAAAATCTGTGCTGCCAGCCGCTACAATCGGTGCTAAGGAGCTTGTGGTCTCAAGTCATAAAATGTCAGTTTTAATATCATTCTTATTGTGACACTTTCAGCACCTACTTTTTCAACTGAGCACAGTGTCAGGTACTACACTAGGCACAGGTGATACCACAGTCTGCAAGGGGGACATGGTCCCTACCCCATCGATCTAACAGTCAGTATGTGACAGTTAACACATGGGGTGCACCAGTGAGTCACCGGTCAGGACTGAGGAAGGATAGTGTTATACAGGGTAGGATACTGATCACAGAATTTTGTAGTAACTAGAATTAAGGCAAGCTTCCTGAAAAAAACTGTATGTAGGTTGTGCCATTATCCCTCATGCATGATATAGAAATGCCAAAGAAATTCGATAAAATCAGACCTTGGATTGCTAGTGGAGAAGTGGCAAGACATGAGCTCAACAGGACAAGATAAGCCAGAGATGGTAAGTTCTATTAAGGACTCTGAACTTGATCCTAAGATGGTGGCAAAAAGTATGTGTCTTGGCACAGTGCTGTGGAGAGCAGATGAATGGGAGCAAAGTGAGAAGCCAAGGAACAGATACAGGCACTGCTGCAGGAGAGGTAGTCAGACGGTTGCGGCAGGGATGATCACAGTGAAGAAAGGAGGATGTCTTCTGATATACAGGAGGTTGAACTGACAAAATTGAAAACTGGATGAATTTTATTAGGAGATGTGATGAGAAAGGAAGAGTCAAAAGTGACCCACGGGTTCTGGTTAGATTACATAGGAGGTGGGGGGGCAGAACTTGATTGCCAACAGGCTCAGCCAAGAGGTCAGCAGGTCCGAATGCAAATTCTAGTGGTTGTGAGACTGCATATGAGTTACTGAACCTTGGATGCTTAATTTTCATAGAAATTTAAGAAAATAACAAGTCTTACCTCAAAGGATCATAGTCAAGATCAAATGAACTAAAATACATGCAAAATACCTGTGAAGCACCTGCACAAATTAGGTGCTCCAGTGCTATGTCTCATTGTTGGAATCCACTGAGAAGGCAGAGCACTGACAATGGAGCCAGATGGGGGCGAGGTGCAAACAGTGGTCATCGTAATAGTGTCAGTGCTCACGGCGGTGAAGGCGAGGGAAGTGGTTAACATTCACTGAAGAGTCATTCTATACCTGGTTCTGAGTACTCTGCAGTAACTCTCTCAATAGTCCTGTTCTGGAAGTACCAGCACTACCCCATTTTACACGAGAAATGGCCATATCACTCAGAAATGGCAGAACCAATCTTGACTCTAGAACCCACAATTTTAATCCCTTCTCTTTAATGCCTTCAAGAAAAAGTAAGCTCAATTTTACACACATTGAATCCAGTGATTCCAGAGATGGAAATTGAGATGTCCAGCAGGCAGCGACAGACAAAGATCTGGCCTCAGGCCCTTGTTAAGGATGGAGACATAGAACTGGGATTCACGAGCACCTGGCCAGGAACCACATCCACAAAAGTGGATAAGGCTCCCGGGGACACAGGTGTGGGATGAGATTAAGAAAGTTAGTGCAAAGTCTGGAAGGCTATGGACACTGCAGAGACTGACAGAGAAGGATGGGCCCTCAAATGAGGCTAGTGGTGAGCAGATAAAAACACAGATAAAGGATCAGGGAAGGGCAGGCATAGGAAAAAAGAGAGAAGGGGCATTTCAAGAAAGAACGTATGTGAAGGTAGAGCCCAGGGAGAACTCACTGAACTTAGCAACATGGAGGTCAGTGATGACCTTGGAGTGACCTTTGTTGGGCTGGGGTCAGACTGCAGTGGGGTGAGGAGTGAATGGGAGGAGAGTGGAGGCTGAATGATGATGCAGTAGAGTTTTCTCAGTAATTTCAGTCATGAAGGGGAGGTGGTAGTTAGGAGGATGGGTGCTCATTTTAATAGCTGGATAAGACTTGTGCATATTTAAATCCACATATAAACAAACTAGAAGATAGAGGACGTAAAAAAATTGCGGAGAGTCTAGCAATATCTAATGTTCAGAGGACCCTGAGCCAGAGAAGGGAAGATAGAACAATGACAAAGAACAAGGGCTCTGGAATTGGTCTAGCCCAGATCAAATCCTTCTCCTCATTTGACCGTGGGACAATCTCTCACCCTAAACCTCAGTTTCCTCATCTGAACTAGACCAAAAAATAATCCTAGTCCTTATTGGGCAGAAAAATCCACAGAGAGTACACAGTGAGCACATAGCAGTTAATGGATATAAGCTATGAATCCTATAGGATTCACAGTACAGGCACGGAAGTTCTCCTGAGAGGGCAAAAGGGCAGTTCAGCCATTGGGACCAGAAGGAAGCAGGAGAGACTGGACATGAAGCAGACATGGATTTGATGGTGGTGCTCTCTTAGGACTTGTGTGTTCCCTGTGAGCAAGGTCCTCGGCTCAGAGTGAGGAGGACAAGTGTGGGGCTGAGGCATACAGCATGGAAACTACCAGTAAGAGGGGAAGGGGCAGCAGGCGAGGGGACTGATCAGGACAATAAGCAGAAAGGGCATCCATCAAGCTTGAAGATCATCGCCTTGCAGAGGCACCAATGACTGTGCTCATACGGCTTTCTCTCGTAGTACTTTGCTGAGGGCCCATGGGTAGGCTCGGGGCAGTGACACAGTTCATTGGCTAAAGGCGGAACTCTAGCAAGTGGGAGAAGCAAAGGATCATCTGGGGATTTGGGAAGAGCATGGCTCAAGTGTGGGGATGAGGACTTGACTGGACAGAGAAGTAAGTGGAGAAGAGACAGGCTTTCAGGTCAATGTAAGAAACCAAAGAAGTTTCCAGGCTGAAGTAAGTATGACTGAAGTAACTAGATGGGAGGATGAGTTATCCACACGGACTCACCCAAGATGAAGCAGGACTTAGAAATTCTAAGCTTAGAAGTGAGCTTAGAAGGAAATTCCTGGAAGGCAAGTAGATGATGGATGAGAGGCCACATGGGAAGGGACCAGAAGTGCTCTATGGGGTACAGGGAAGGGGTCTGAGGGCAGCTCCAGGCTGATGAACTCACTGGTTCCTGCTTGGGAGCAGACCCCTGCAGAGCCTCTGGTTGGCACAGGGGAGGGAAAGTCTGTGGTTCAGTGGCAGCTGTGAAGCCCCGATGTACAAGGCCTCAGCCCTTATCAGCCTGAAGAGCTGCCCCTATTGGAATGCACAGTTCTCAGTCAAAAGATCATTTTAATTCTTAGTGAAGAACTATTTACTTCATTTCTGTGACCTGGTTCTAAAATAGGAAAAAAGTTTGATTGCTTTCTACTGTCTTTGATAAATAATGACTACAATTTCCTCAAAACTAAAATACAACAAAACAAAA